TGTGCATCAAAGCTTAAAAACTATCAATTTCCAACTCTTTTTTGGTCCTCACGCTCGATCTTACATAAATTTTCAAAACAAAATACTCGGGCATGAAAAAGTCCATTTTTTCAAAATAACCGGTCGAAACATAAAGACATTGATCCTAAAGGGAGACATTTCTTCAAAAAGATTTTAAAGACATTGATCCTAAAGGGAGACATTTCTTCAAAAAGATTTTGACATTATCGGTGTTAGATGTTTACTATCAAATTCCTAGTCTTGACTCGCTCGCATGTCATTTATTAATAAGTGCTATTTTTCATTTTGGTGTTCACACTATTAATTTTATTGTTCACGACATTCACATTTTGGCATTTTTCGGTAAATGTTATCACAATCCATTTACTATTTTATATAATACCTTTGGAAAACATTGTATCTCCTGTATATAAAATTTATTATATACTTTCAAAATATTTTCTAATGCACTGACAAATAAGTGTCCTTTTAAAATATAATATGTGTATATATATAAGAATTAACAATTCCTATTATGGTTAGTATTATTCTAGATCAAATCTCCTTATATCAAATATTAATATTTTTTATCCTTTTTTCTTTTTAACTTTAATTATTTTTCTCTATTTTCTATACTTAAATTATTCTCCTGGACTCTTAACATTTTATAAGATTTCTTGTACTACATAATTGGAATAATAGCCTAAAATGACAAACAATTAGAAACAACACACACATATATATATATATAACGAAACTTAATTGTAATCACACGATCACAATCAACAATCATAATTATTATGTTCAACTGCTCCCATATATATCGCCCAAAGCTGTCGTCATCACAAAAACTTTTGGAAACATAAAAACTCAAAATGATTTTTCTTTTCTTTTTTCTTTTCATCTACTAAAGTAAGCTAGCCAATTGAAAATATTCTTAGAGTTGACTACACAAATCTAACCAGTTCAAAGGGAAGACTTTCTTTTAACCTTTTTTTTTTTTCCCAAACAACCAAACTCCTTTGAATTCGAGATCAACTTTGTGTTTTAGTAGTAAAACGTCTTGTATATGTATTTTTCAGGCTGGAAAAACTAAAGAAAAAAGAACCCACCCATTCAGATTCAGACAAACCAAAGGTCTAAAACATAAAACAATATAAATAAAGCTTGCAAGAAGGTGGTCCGATCATTCTTATACATTTCATCAACTTTAATTCACTATTCATCCACTCGCATAATTTTAACTAACCATCACTTTCAATTATTTTTCTCCTACTTTACATCAAATCAATTTTAATTATTTTATTTAAATATTATTTTAATATATCCACTAACCACTAACCATACCATTTTTTTTCAAAATTAACTATAGTTAAAAAACAAACCAAATAAAAACTAGTTGAATCCATAAACAATCACCCCGTTAGTGCGTGCCTTGAATACAATTTTTTTTCAACATTCAATTATTTTTAATCAATCGCTGTTTTTGAATTTAGATCTAACTCAACTTTAACTCAACTCCATCATCCTCAATATTATCAATAAAATCAAATAATATACCTCAATCATTCTTACACATTACATCAATTTTAATTCACTATCCATCCAATCATTATTTTAACTTATCATCATTCCACATCATCTTTTTTCTACTTTTATATCAAATTAATTTTAAATATTTTATTTGAAATATTATTTGAATATAAACTCAAAATCTCACTAACAACTAACCGTACCACTTTTTTTCAAAATTAATCAAATGAAGAGTATCTTAGGGTGTGTTTGTATGTGAAAAAAAACTCAATTCATACTCCAAATCCAACTCAACTTTAATTCAATTCCACTATCTTCAATATTATCAATATAAAATAATACTAATCAATCATTCTTACACATCACATCAACTTTAATTTACTATTCATCCTCGCACACTATCTCTCTCCTACTTTTACATGAGGGAGACATGCACTGTGCATGTTAGAGTACATGAAAAGGAAACTTTGTAGGTAGAACTAACGTTATAAGGTTGGGCTGCACAAGAAGCTCATGTTCTAATGTTATTATCAATTAATTAGAGGATGAGTAGCTAATAGTAAGCATTTTAACTTTCAGACGACTTTCATGGACTGCTACTCTAGTTGTTACAGATAGCACGTACCAATTTGGTCATCATAATATCATTTATCTTTCCCATCTGACTTTGATTCAATCAAATAGTTATTTAAGTTAATCAGAAAATCTTGTTTCTAAATGCATAAATTGTTGATCTAGAAGGGCAAATTAAAAATGTTATTCCAATTTGGTCAACTCCTTACATAACTTAACAAGTTCACTGTGATGCTCTACTTCCAGGGAAACAGAAATAAAAGAAGAAAACCTTTTAAGTTGTCATCAAAACTTCAGAAGTAAATAATAGAAGCCAAGATAAAATGATCAATGTGATATATAACAGTTTGAGGAGATTGCACAAAAGAAAAGCATATGAGAGCACTCAACCAAGATAGCAACTAACTGAAAGCAAATTGGGGTATGATAAAGGCCAAGCTAAGAAGTTTATGTACGACGCTTAAGTTAGTATACATTACATTCTTTTAGACAATGCCAATATGTGTTTAGAGATCGACAAGCTCAGCACGGTGGCTACAATTGTGGTTTGATGTGCTGGACCTTAACTAGAATTTTAAAAGAACAAACTGGTTAAAGGAACAATATAACATACACACACACACATATACACATTCTAGTAAATGCAGAGGAAAAGTTGAATGAATATCCTAACCTCATCAACAATATTAGTGGCTCCAGAGAAGTCTAGCTTCTCTTTTCTGATGAGTTCAAGACATGCTTCAATTTTATTCTTCTGTTCTTCCTCCTAATAAGATGATTAAAGGAGGATAAATTTGTAAATGATACTATCAAACTGGTGGGTAAAATAGTTTTAGAAATAACAGATGAATTTGTAAATGATATTATCGAAATGCGCCAAAGATGGTGTTGTGGGGAACTGAAGCTACAGTAATGTAATAATATAAACAACAATAACAATAAAATAAATTAGACAAGGAGCATAATTTGTATATCTAGCATTTCCTTGGTAATGACGAAAATAAAGTAAAGTGACGATCAAGCATAAACAAAAATATACATTAATTTATGTTATTTGAGCTATCAGTGTTGCAGTACTGCACTACTAACTAGAAGAACAAGTAAGTATGCTAATGAAATGCGAGTGAAACTAAAAATAGTATATGTTCTATGCACCATTGATATTACTATTCATACTACCTTTGTTGCTTTTCAAGAATTCAGAAACCATCTCATCATCTTTTGGATCTCCATATGTTGTGCCATTGCCATATAAATGAAATAGTAAATTCCAGAAATAAATTTGATGATTATTGTTAACATGCAGAATGAATGCATCTTCTGAATACAAATTGTGGTGATATAACTTGATAAAGGCAACCTTCAAGCACCTGTATTCAATTCAAACAATATATTTTTTTTATATATATATGTATGTATTGTTACACCTTTACCAAGTCCCGTCAGATATTTTATTTCATTTTTCTCCGCTTCTGCAGTAAATAGGCATCTTCTGTCTAAATTCAGGAAATTTATATGAGTAAAGTTACACAACTCAAACAAATGAAGACATGTACTTCATTTAATAAAACTGAAATGATAACAAGCAAGTTGACATGAGCGGGCGTACTTTGAAATTAATGGATCCAAATTATGTTCTTCCACTAGCTCATTCACAGTGTCGAGAACTGTTCCCGCCTACAGAAATACAAAATTAAGTTCTGTAAACCCCCAACATATGCACATCTCACCAACCGAAAGTAATATATAAGGATAATATGTACGTTAAGTCAAAGAAAGGTATAAACACAGTTAACATAATCCATTAATTATCTCCATCGACAAGGAATTGAGGAAGGGCATGGTAACTAAGAAAGTGAGAAACAGAATTTAATGGAGAAAAGGATGCGCAATCTTCCACACCATTAACTGTAACTTATTTTGCAAGGATATGAGTCTCAGATTTCTAAACAAAAAAAGAAGAGAGAGAGAGAGAGAAAGAGGAGGAAAATACGTGAGTCTGGAGAACTATAGACTCAAGTTCTTCCTGCAATGATTGAGAGAGATTAGTCACAACTCGCAACAATCATTTTCTTCCATGAAATCAGTACAAACTTATCATGCAAATCTATCTATCTATCCATATCTATACTATTATAGAAGGACGAATGGTTTTGTAAAAATATGAATTGCCTCAAATGCCCTTACTTTGACATATTTTTAATGGCAAATTAGTAATACAGTAATACTAATCGTATTTTATATTTTTAATTAATAAATGAACTACCTAAAAAACCATTACTTTGACTTATTTTTAATGGCAAATTAGTAACACACTAATACTCATCATACCTTATATTTTTAATTAATAATTAATATTTAGTTAAATAAATATAGATACACGAACAAAACATTCTAAATCTCCTAAAAATCAACCTCAACATTCTCATACCATTATTCCTCACGAATTTATTTCTTTCACATATCTATCAACCACAACATTGCACCTTAGATTTATTGCATTGATTTTGTATCCCACAGAAAACGTTATTTATTTGTTTGTTTGATTACTTTTTCCAATTTTGGTAACAAAGTCAATAAAGTTAACGAATTTTCACCCGACCATTAGGTGAAGAACATATGAAAGAACAATATAAAGTACAAAAATATTAAATTTGCTAAATATTATAAAAAAATATAATTAAGTTGTCATACTTACTAATAAATATGAAAAGAAGTAATAAATAAAAATGTTATAATTAATAAAAATAAACATAAAACTTTTAAAATTGTACTTATCGATGCAAACGAATTGAATTGTTCAATGCTTGTTAATTTTTTGTGCTTTAGTTCTATGTGTAAGTTTTAGGTGATAGACAATAGTTATTTGTACTTTTATCCATCTAGGTTAGAACTTTTATTTTGAATATAATATGTAAATATCATATTACATATATAAAATAATAATTTTTTTATTATTTAATATTTAATATGTAAGAAATTCAACTCAATTGAGAAATTAATAAGTAATTTTGAGATAAAATAATGAGTGATTTTAGAAAAACATATGGACTAAAAAGTTCATGTGCTAAATATATTTTTAATAGAAAAATTGTAGGTATTCCACTGAAAATTGCAATGAATATTTCATTGGTGTAGTGTTCATTAGAAAATTTCATTGTCTATTAGTTCCATTGAATTTTTTGTTGATTTAATGATTATAATTACCATTATTTATTATTGTGTGAATTTCAGTTAGAATTTGTTTTCGGACCATATTTCAACTATTGAAAAAATTGTCAATGGAAATTTAAAAAATTCAATATAAGTTTATGGAAAGCTAATTGCAGTTGAGGATACAAAATAATTTCATATTTGGGGCACTATTTAGTTGATAGAAAAAGTATACCATCACAATAACATAATGCACTATAATTTATAAATTATACTTTTCATAGTTTGTCATCTTTCTCATCTGTAATAGATTTTTAATAAAAGTTAGAAAATATTAAAAAATTCGTACTTTTACCCATTTAGGTTAGAACTTCTAAAATAAAAAAAATAAAAAAAATAAAAAATAAAAAACTTGATTGTTCTAATTTTAAATATCTTTTTTATTTGCTATTAGTTTTTTAAATATAATAAACAAATATCATATTACATTTATACAATAGTAAATATTTTCATTATTTAATTTTTAATATGTAAGCAATATAACTCAATTAAGAAATTAATAGGTTATCTTGAGATAAAATAATGAGTGGTTTCTAAAAAATTACATGGACTAAAAAGCCATGTGTTTAATTTATTTTTAATAGCAAATTTGTAAAGATAATTAATTAATAACAAAAGATACTATATAAAAATTTAATGTTTAAGAATGAATACAATAAAAAAAAAAAAAAACCAACCGTAAGGTATTCCACTGAAAATTTCAACGGATACTTCATTAGTATAACTTTAATTGAAAATTTTCATTGGCTATTCCAACAGAGATAACATTAAATTACATTAGAAATTAACTGATTTAATTATTTCAATTACTATTATTTATTGTTGTGTGATTTCTAGTGGGGATCTTTCTCGGACAACATTTCAACCGTTGGAAAAACAGTCATTAGAATTGTAAAAGCTCAATGAAAGTTTCATTGGAAAACTAATTGCAGTGGCAGATCTAAAATGACAGGATGAGATAGTAGGAATAGTCGAAGTCATAAAAAAGTACTAATGGGCAATCATTTAAATATCCTTATCTGCTCTATTATGGCATTACATATTTATGACAATTTTCACCAAGTATACTCATTATTCTCCAAAACTATACACATTATTTTCCAAAACTATACATCGAATCCTCCAATAAAGCAATCAAATAAATTATGTCATTCAGGTCATCCACTCTAGAAAACCACACAACAAATCCCACCATATCTCAATTAATGTCAAATATTTTAACAGAGACAACTTACGTAAAGGACACGTGCTAACAAGTATTAACAAAAAACCTAAAAATGACTAGAATCAAAATGCAAACAAAATGTACTAGTGTTGAGAAAGTCAGAAGTCCAAGCAACAACACAATGTTGTTAACAGATTCTCACGTAGCTGGAGCTAGCCAACATGATCTCTTATAACAACAAATAAATGCTAATGGTTGCTAGCGCACTAGATTGATATTTTCTCCCTAGAAATTAAAATATTCCCACTAGTAATATTACACAACAGACCTGAAGGCCTCAATAGCTGGTATACAATCATCTGGAAACCGTCATATTCCGTGAATTTACCCCAATCAATGAAGAAGTGCGTTTGAACCTAAAAATGAATTGTAAGAACTAAGATTGAATTATTTAGTTAATTTGAAAGTTTTTACATTTCTCAGGTACCTGTTGCATAGTGTATGCTGAAGCCTTTTCTTCCAAGATTTGCTTCAGACGGCAATCTACTCCAGAATAACGAAGAACTTATTCCAATCCAGAGCATTGTTGAATGACAAATCAATCTCATGATTACTAAAAAATAAATCATAATAAGTTTAGTTGTCTTTTCATTTGTAAAACAAAATTAAAAAAATTGAAAATAACATTACCTGGGACACACTCATTCAGGATTATCATCGTTATGCAAGCGTTTGGATTAGGAGACCAAGCTACACACAGGCAGAACTTGTCGTGCCTCAACCTGTGGCCCCTTTCCCTCACCAATACTTTAGTTTTGATGATTTCAAGATCCTGGTCACCGGACCACAGCCTTACGAGCATCTTTCGGGTCTCGGAGTTTGCAACCCCTTCACAGTATCCAAGAGTAGTCCTGCATATAGATTATATTCCATAAATACTTAAATCGTAATAAAATCAAAAGTTGATATTACTAATTAACCTATTCTTCAAACCCTCGGTAGGGTGCTGAATAATATGGCATGACACATAGGTTAGTTAGCCAATGATGTAGTCCTGCCCGAACCAATGATGTGGCAGCCCCTTGTGCCATGCCAGATTTTTCAGCACCCTACTACTGAGTAAAGGGGTTGAAGAATATGTTAGTTAGTCATATCAACTTTTGATTTTATTACGATTTAAGTATTTATGGGATATAATCCACATAGAGGACTACTCTTGAATACTTGGAACGAATTGCAAACTCCGAGACCCGAAAGATGCTAGTAAGGCTGTGGCCTAGCGACCAGGATTTTGAAATCGTCAAAAACTAAAGCTGAGGGAAAGGGGCCACAAGTTGAGTCATGTCAAGTTCTGCCTAGGTCTCTCAATCTAAACGCTTGCATAACGATGGCAATCCTGAATGGGTGTGTGTCAGATAATGTTTATTTTCAACTTTTTAATTTTGTTTTTTACATGAAAAGACAACTAAACTTAGGATTTATTTTCTAGTAATCATGTAAGATGAAATTGATTTGTCATTCATCAATGCTCTGAATTGGAATAAGTTCTCTTATTCTGGAGGAAGAGATCATCGATATCTACCGTCTGAAGGAAATCTTGGAGAAAATGCTGTACAAGAACTTGAGAAAGGTAAAACCTTCAAATTAACTAAAAAATTCAATTTTAGTTTTGACAATTCACTTTTTATTTTTAGGTTAGACGCACTTCTTCATTGATGGGGGCAAATCCACGGAGTATGACGGTTTCCGGATGATTATATACCAGCTCTGGCTATTGAGGCCTTCAGGTTTGTGATGTAATATTACTAGTGTTAAGGTGGGAGTATTTTAATTTCTAGGGAGAAAATATCAATGTAGTGCACGTGCAAACAGACATTTATTTGTTGTTATAAGAGATCATGTTGACTAGCTCCCGCCACTTGAGAGTTAACATTGTATTGTTGCTTAGACTTTTGACTTTCGTGCATTTTTGTTTGCATCTTGATTCTAGCCGTTTTTAGGTTTTTAGAGTGGATGACATGAATGACATAATTTATTTGACTGCCTTATTGGAGAATCCGATGTATAGTTGTGAAAAATAATTAGTATACTTGGCGAAAATTATCATAAATATGTAATGCCATCATAAATCAAATAAGGATATTTTGGTTTGGCAATACTTTGTCTAGGATTGCCCATTAGTACTTTTTTATGACTTGGACTATTCATACTATGTGCGCACTAGTTTTATCTCATCCTGTCAAATTTATCATATCTAGGAGTGTATCTTTGCTGGTTAGCACGTCGTATTATGTTGCTAAAATTTATTACTAATATTTTCTTCTGTGGATTTCCACATCAAATAAGTTATACATAGCATTGATTATTAGTATTATTTCTATATGGAAAAAATGAAATGCAGCGCAAATTAATTGATGGTTGCACAATTCTCTGGGCAACATAGGTCTTTGTCTTCATGCAATTCAACGTATTCATAATCATATCCATAGAAAAGCTTCCTATTAACGTCGTAGTTAAACAAGAGATTAAATTATTTGTTTTGGCAAGACTGAATCAAACACTTACCTTGGCCATCTCAGTTGAAACAACTTTGTGCTATGAGATCGCCCTTGTTTCGAACAAGAAGCTTATTTACATCGTCAGCTACCCGTCAATTGCATTCAACCATTGCTTTACGTTGTTAAATTTCTCTTGATCAGTCGCATCTGACAAATATTACCAGAATCATATTACCAGAATCAGACTAAATCCTTTTGGATCTGCACTAGAGTGAAATGCGGACAAACTTACAATGATGACATGTGCCCCACGTTAGTAGCTTCTGGTAATTGTCCTTCAACGATCCTGTCCAACCGAGTCCCACTTCACAACCTAAACTCTAAAAAATTCATCTCTGTTTAAAGCGTATGCAGTAAGGGACCATTTATTGCAAAGCATCTCTGCAGAATTTTATTCCGTTTGCATCATAGCCTCAAATCAATTTTTATTTTTTCTAAATCAGATTAATAATTTACTCTGTTATTTTTCGTGTTACAACCTTTATACCTTTTAGTGTCAACGTGCTCCAAGATACAAAGTTAAAAGAAGTTTATCTATAGAGATGGAACCTTATATAGTATAGTTACGTATGATGGAACCTTATATAGTATGTATACGTATGACCCCCCATGCTTCTCAACTATACGTATGCACAACATATCAAAAACATTTTATTTAGAGGCACATCATTGTCACACGAAGTATCGCTTTTGATCTCAACTTTGATAACTTGAGAGGTTTTTTATATAGAATTCAATATGATATAAGATAGTATTATGTGAGATTAAAAATGTATCGAAATATACTATTGCTTGAAAGTTCGGCCGAATGGAACTCTTATCTAGACAGTAATTGTGAGGGACTCGAGTGACTTCTATACTTATATTAAAAGATATACCATTTACCAGATTTAGTATAAAAAAGATTTAGTATAAAGAAAAGTCAACAATATTTATTGCATTACTATTTCCGTATTATACAATCTATACTTATATAAAAGGAGATTCTATTTACTACATTTACTATCCAGAAAAGTCAACTGCATTAAATGTCGTTACTATTTTGGTATTATAATATTTTATTTGTTTAATTGATTTATTTATTTATTTTATTTTAAAAAGGTAAGTAAAATAAGAAGATTTTAATAAAAAAAAAAATCAAATACCAAATAAAAATGTACAATTTGACTTATTTGATTATATTTGGTATTTGATTATACCAAATATATTCTTATTTAGTATATACATTAAATACTTACTAAAGTATTTATTTGTTTTATTTGTCAAAATTAAGTATAAATTTGTTTATATTATCAAATCATAAAACAAATAAATATATCTCGTGCTTCGCACGGGTATTTGAACATTGTACAATTTTCTTGCGTATTATAAACTTTTATTGAATATTGCATCTTATAATATAATATTCTCCAAATACATATATCTCGTGCTTCGCACGGGTCACGTACTATATATATCCCGTACATTTTTCTTTATTCATGTATATAATTATAAGCCTGAATAAATAGCCTTAAAATTGTGCACCCCGTGCATCGCACGGACTCTGTACTAGTAATATTTAAACAGACAATGTGATATCAATCTTAAGTATGTGAACCAACACAAAATAATTCCCAAGTTATGTCTATTATGGAGACTTGGACCCAATAAGGTCACTTAAATAAGGTCACTTCTTCCTGATATAGATAGCATGAAAGTTTAAATAGAGTCACAAGTCAATAAAAAACATCAAGTGGAATAAAAGACTTACATTTCTCCTTTCAGACATTTTGTACTAAAATTATTGTCCCATTAGCATCTTAAACCCTGCATAGTTCATCTCAAAGTTTAGTATTTTTCTCAGAGGCAGCTATCTTTTTTTTTTTTTCATTTCAAATATTTTTCCCAACCCATATTTTGTTTGTTTGAATCACACAACCGTATCAAATTTCCAAGAGTGATAACAAATAGGAACCTATTACTGCCAAGCAGGAAATTAACAACTTCAAATCATAATAATCAAAATACTATATTGAAATGTCCCAAAGTAATGTTAGACCCCAAGAATTCAAGATATAAACAACAAAATTACCGGTTTCTTAGTACTGCAAGCCTCAATCACCATAGTACTACTTCATAGTCTCTTTAGCAAACTCAACAGGAGTGATTCCATTCTTTCACTGTGACAACGGATGAGGCATATTCTCGCAGCCCATAAGATTTCTTGACACCAAGCATATCCTCAGAAAGTGAAAAAGTCTTGCTCCAATACGGCTGTAAAAAAAAAAGAACAAAATCTCCCAGCTCAAATCATCCATTTCCACAGGCCAACAAACAATGTATATTTAACAAATAAAAAGCACATAAAAAAACCCTAGCTCACCCGGTCAAAATCTCCGATCTAGATTCAGCAGTATAGGTGAAGAAAGGTAGAGTTGGGAATTCTTCATTCTGCTTCGACTCGATGGTCACGGTCATAGCCACCGGAGGCGGAGCCTCACTGAAGCCAGTTAAAAATTGAGGACTTTGCTCATCCTCGTCCTTCGCCGCTGCCGAGCATCACGACTGGCAAGGCTCTGGAGAGATAGATTGAGCCCAAAATCCTGACATTGGTGGATTTCCCGAACGGTGAGAATCGCCTTCAATTGCGTAGTTTCTTCAGGCCGATTGTGCGAAAATAATGGTTCAGTCTTGTGCTTTCTCTCGCTTAAGAAACGCTAATATCCCAAACTCCTCCCTGCCATCGTCCACCACCTACGCACACCCAACTCTGTCGTCCGCTCTGCTTTTGTTGCCGTCTCCACCTGCTTCTCGTAGAACCCCTTGTCACCGCCCTTAACCTTTGTTGGCAAACAAATCCTCGAAGCCCTGTTCATGGAGTAGGACCAAAACACCCAAACACGTCGCCCTGGGCCTGGAGGCGCTAATTGAGGGAGGCATCGGAGATCCGAACGCGACCGGAGATTGTTGCCGAGCCTCAAGAAATTGGTCAAATAGTGCTTTAAGGAATGGCCTTCGCGGCGCGGCTAAGAAAGGGGAAAAATGGTTTAATTTCTGAAAAAGCAAAGAGAGAGGAGAGAAGATTAAGAAAAGCGTGTGAAGAAAGCGAATAGTACCTATCAATAGGTGAAAGACGTCCAATCGCCATAGGACGTGCGGCCGAAGAAAAAATTATGAGAGGTTCTACTAACCCTAACGGTGATTCAGGTAAATTTATAACCCAACTACCACACAAAACGGTGTCGTTTTGCCCTGCAATGAAAATGTAATTCACACTAATTTCATTATAGAAAAAACAGAAATTCTATAGAAATATCGGATGGCTTCTTTATAGAGTCATATATAATATTACGTGCTGACACATGTCTTATATGTATTTAATACAGGACACGTGTTAATACACTATTTATGAATAACTATGGATGACTCCATAAGTCATCCGATGGCTCCATAGCAAAATCGATAAAAATAAATCAAAATATAAAGAAAAAAATCTTTTAGATTCATGTATATCTATATTAACTAATAAATATTTTATATTAATTTATAAAATGAAAATATGTAGCTTAAATAATTACGATAATTTGTTGACAGGTCATTTATTTACATAACTCTAAGTGCCACATTTGGAAAATATCAACAATTAATGCAGTACTAATACGACATCCGTGTACTGTATGGGTTTTTAAAAAAAAAAAAAATTTATAATAAAATATAACTGTATAAAAAAATTTATATTTTTATATAAAAACTCAAGGGCTATTTTGCAATTATTCAAACTATAAATATTTTTATATAGTTATTTTTTATTATAAAATCGTTTTTACAGATTGAACCCAATGATCTTATTGCAATAACTCATAAGTTTGTGAAATTGCAAATAAACCGTTCTAGTTTGTGTAATTTTCAAAAATCCAACCACATTCTAAATCTGATTTTAGCCCCGATATTCAGCCCAATGTGCGTGAAATTTGTGCCAAGTCGATGTCGATGTCACTGCTCTTGTCCATGTAGATGTAGTCAAGGTCATGGGCCACATCGGTCGCGATCTGGCTGGAAGACATTCAATTGGAGAGACCGTGAAATTAGGGTTCATTTTGTTGCGCAGGCACGACTCTAGGTTTGACCCACAGTAGAATTCGTAGGCTGAGGTAGATGTGTTCACCGTAGATCGAGACGCCGAGGAGCTTCATGATGCTCGTGAAATGGCTCCGGCTGATGACGACGAGCTTCTGTCGGACGTCCGATTCGGAGACGGATTTCTCGAGCTTCCTCTAGAAGACGACAGTGTCCTTGCCATTGAAGGAGCAACGCCTCGCCGACTAATTGCCAACAGTGTCAACATATTTATTTATTATATAATTAAGTTAAATATAGTAATTAATATTTTTATTATTTAATTAGTGTATATTCTAATTGATTAATATTAGTCATTGATCTACACAAAATCAACGATAATTGAGTCTCACGTACTCATTTTAAGAAGTGGACTCATTTGACCTACCCCTATATATATTTATATATCATTTTCGAAAAAGCTAGGGACCCTCAAGGTTTGTGGCTCGAGGTCATAACTGAATAAATAAATTACTACCGCTCGAGACAAGTCTTTAGATTGCAGTCTCTATCTCTACTCATATTTGGATTGAGCCGGATGATGTCGTTGTCGTCACCCTCTTAACCTTAGGCCACTAGGACTCATGACAGATGTAGCACCCGCTGATGCGCACAGATCCACACTTCAGTTGGTTCGTTACCAGATCTCGCACATCTTCTGCGAGGAGAACCAACCTGATGACTTCCAGGCCAACCTCGGAGCCACTTTTCTCAAGAGGCGCACTTTCCACCCTAGACGCCCCTCTCCGCCTATGTACTTTAGTGCGGATGGACCAGCTTGGTTATCCTTTTTTTAGATTTTAGTAGACATTTTATGTTTGTTGTACTTTGGCCCACTTTGTGGAGTAGATTGTTTGTTTGAACACCTGTCAACCTGAGTTCAAACTTTTTGTTTTGGTTGATTTTTTCCTTTTTTTTCGTTTTTGTTTGGACATGTGTAGACCTAAAATTTTTCTTGCCCAATCAAGATCTTAATTATTTGCAGGAAGATCAGACCTTACTCCCCCACCCTTCCGGTGCTTCTTTGNCCCATACAAGGCAATCGTGAAAAGCGCCAACTCCTTATTCCGATATACGTAAATAACAGAAAAATGAGAAAATACACACAAATGTCCAAAATGCAACATGCCTCACCCAAAAATCTCTTCCTATCTTCCAGAAATCCGCAAAATATAAAAAATAAAATAAAACTGAACAACAAAGCTTCACGATCTGATCAAGAGAACTTGAAGTAATCAAAATGTCTAGCTCTCACTCTATTTCTACATACACATAGTATATTATCTCAGCAACCCAATACAAAATACACCACAGTTCACGATGTTCGTCCCTAGTCAAGCTTTAAACTTTGCATCCACATTCTTTTGCCAATCAATCCAGTCCTCAGGTCACAGCCCATATGTCTCAGACGACTGAAAACACCAACGTTCCTTTTGTTCGCTCAAGGCAAAGAACAAAACTAGCCGAGCAAGTCCTTGAACAAATTTGGGTTCTGGCCTGATGGTGTGAACCCCATTTGCCTCACTAGGGCGTCCTTCTCCAGTGCCTCCTTCAAGTTTGGTCCCTTATTCAATTGCGTCACAGTATTCTCCCCATTACTCCCTCCCCCAAGACCATTCACAGACATGTCAGCAAACAGAGACATAAAATCGGATGACGACTCCACATTCGAGCCAACTACAGTGTTTGTTCCGTCCTGGCTAAAATCGAGACCTTCCAATTCCATAAAAGGGTCAACAGACGGCTCACCAATACTAACCACAGAAGGCTCGCCCAAGTCGAGCAAGTCAGGGGGCGGAGTAGGACGGGACTTTTCTGAAGCGGAAGCCCGATTTTGAGGCTTGGTGACCTTCTGACGTCTCGACTCGCCCCCAAAGAGCGAGGCCGCCAGCTTCTGCTTCTCGGGCGATATCTCCACTTTTTGCTGCTTTTTCGAACTGCTATTGATGCTGAAAGATGAATTGTTGATGGCCGAGTCGTGCTGAGTTGACTCGCTCTGAATCCTCGCATTATCTGCACTTGAAGTGGATGGGGGTGCGGGGGAGGGGGAGGAGCTGTAGGTGGGGCGGCCCCACTTCCTCTGGACCCCATCGAGCCGGAGCTTGAGCTCCGACTGGGATGCATCGGATGCTGCGGGTTGAGTTGGGGAGTATGAGAGCTCCGGAACAGGGACAAGATCGGACGATGATGTCAGCACAGGGGGGATGTTCGAGGGTGTTGAGGGTTTGGGAAGCTCGTAAGCCTCGAACCTGAGGGCGTGGTGCGTGGACGGCTCATGATCTTCGTGGAGCTTGAAATTGTTGATGCTCGATGTTCCTTGGCGCTCGGTTTCCGGGATGTACGGCTGGGCACCGTTTTCGAGTGACTTTTGGATGTAGGCATCGAGAAAAGAGAGATTCTTGTCGATCTGGAAAACGAGAGAACAAAATTGACATTAGGTGTTTCTGTGTAGAGCAATGGAAAGTGGTACTTATCAAATTTGTATCTTTATATATATATCATAGTCAGGCCAGCAATTTGTTATCCGGAACAAACAACTAAAGTGTGTGTCGACTAAAAGTTGATGCCGATAAAATTGTATTTTACCTCAACATCATCACAAGTGGAATCCCTTGGCATTATTTTCGCAACAGCATGAACATCTAAGCTAAGGATAGCTTGGAGTTCATAGGCACGCTGCTGAAGGTCAGTCGAATGAGATGCTAACATTTCTTCAATCAAGGATTGGCACTGCCATCAACCAAGTTGTTAACCATGTAAAAATCTTTTGGCTTGTGCCCAAGAAATCATAAAGCTGGATCTTCAAACATGTGAGGAAAAACTAATAGAAATTAACTTGTAATAACACTGATGAAAATCAAGTGTTCCTACAACTCCGGCAAAATCATGTCTAAGTTATCAGTTGCATCATATGTGGCCAAACACGTAAGTGATAGAAATGTGATTGAGACAGCTAGGGTCAAAACTACAATCCTAAATGCATACCTCAGGCAGTATATCCACTGTTCTCCCAGCAGCTATTTCAAATGAATATATCTTCATAAGTGCTGTAACTGCATACGCCTTCAGAAAAAGAGGAACAAGGAATTACACAAAAAATAGTTTGTCAGTGTAGAACTATGCTACAAATTTATGTTTGAACAAATGAGGCAACCAAGAGACGACTTTGCTAAACAACTGGTCCTCTTAAAACATGAAATCAGATTAACGTTAATGTTCTATATCCCTTTTATTAGTCCAACCCTCAAGTCTAGCTTCAAGGGAAAATTTTGCTACACAAGTTGGTTTTTCCAAATGAAACAGTTCTACATATTGGCCTAAACATCAGGATGCAATACTTCATCTTCTGGAAAAGAACTGAAACAGATGATAAGCTACAAGATCCATTCTTTAACATATATCAGTCCCCCTATTTTAATTTTCAAAATTGAGAACAGCATTACAAAGAAGTAGCACCAAAGTAGTAATACAGAAAAAATAGAACCCATGCTCAATAATCCAATGCACGATCGGCAAGCATAATAGTACCCTTTTAAATGAAAATGCGCATAATAAACCAGATACATACTTTCACTGTGTCATCTTCTGGATGTGCCTCTGCCACATCACACAACTTCCCAGTGATATACGAGGCAGAATACTTCCCATCAGCAGTAGTCCCATATTCTCCCAAAACCCAACAGATCACCTTCAAAATAAAGAGAAAGCAGATGAAAATCTACTGGTGGAAGAACACAGTTTGGAAGGGGAAGGTTGGAAATCAAAACATGATGTAACGTACTTGAAGGAAAGCAGATGGAAGTTTTGGTTCCCCCATAATTCGAAGATAAGACTCCACCTGCCCCAAACCAATTATTCAGATTCTTATTAGAAGTGCTAAAAGGAACCAATAAAGATATTTGATCCACAAAATCATTTCAATGAAAGAAATACATTATTCAGTAATCACTCCCGTAATCTCAAATAATAATAATAAAAATGATGATAATAGTAATAATAATAATAATAATAATAATAATAATAATGACGATGATGATACAAATTAATAAAGCAAGAAAAAATATATGTAAGTGACAAGATCTGCAACAATTAAGACCAAGAATTAACTCGCATATTCTCAAGTCTCCCGAGCTTCCAAGCATAAAGGGAGAACACGTCTTTAGACTTCTACTAACACCTTTAATTGAACCCAACATGAGATAAACCAAGGAACTTAAATTGCTGGAAAATGTGGTATCAAAATTTCTCACATTTATCTGGATGATCCTCAACAAAACTAGTCATAACCAAAAACAGGCCAGTCAGGCCACTGATACAGTAGAGTTTGTGAACGTCAAACGAACCAGGAAATATATTTATTTTCTCTTCAGTAGCATTGTGCCTAAGACAGCAAGGCGTTCTAAAATTTCATATCAGCCAGACTCTGATACTATTCACATGTCCTAACCCCCAAGCAGCAATGCACATGTTTTTCTGCATTTCTTTTATAAAAACAGTAGGATTTGCATTGCACTGATTCTTCTGAATCATAAAGAAAATTGACATTTAAATTTTTTCAAGTTTTAAAAAGACTTATATTAATTAAAAATTCAGAACAAGAGAGAGGCCTGAAAATACTAAAGGAAAAATATGGCATAATGGCCTCTCCAGTAATTTCCATCCAAACCAAGTGAATGGTAGTCTATTTGTTTCTTTGTTTTGTCGTTATAATCGACCAAATCAAGCGGCAAATTAGACATTAACTCGTTACTGTCAATGAAATTTCTTAAAACCAATTAAAGCTAGATGTGGGTGTGTTATAATGAGCTATTAGTCTATTACATTTTGCTTATAATATGAACCATATAATGTCCTGACTCCACGCTTTCTAATTTATCATTCTCGAAGCAATATTGATCATCTTACTTATAAAACACATGGCAAAAACCATAACCGAAACAGTTCAGGCATATCAACATGTACCATGCTAAGAGAGATGCAAGAACCATAATATCTCGAGCTATTCAACGAGAACATTATCAGTAAAAAGATGAACTCAGAAGATAAGTGAACATTTAATAGCGGAAGTGACAAAACGTGTGGACCAAAACAAAACTCAGATTCTAAAGGACAACATACAGCTGATGATCTAAGCTGACTATCTGCAGTATCATCATCCTCCCCAAATCCCTCAGCAATCAATCGCATCAAGTTATGTGCAACTTTGGCATTGACCAGGTCCCCTGCGTGCTCAAATACTTTATTCATGGTCTGGCAAATAAAACAAGTAAAAACAAACAGAAAATTAAAACTCCTCAGATTTAGAATATATATAATAAGAAACTATTATGAAAATCACCAACCTACCTGTATAAACCATTGGTTGCTTGGAGCAAATTGTTCGGCAAGCTCGACACATCTGGATGCTATTTCAGTTTTATAGTGATTATCACTGATGCTTATCATGTACTCAATCATACGTTCCACAATTACTTCTACATTTGATGATTTGGTCATTTTATACAGTAATTCAAATGTTTTGCGCTTCAGGGTGTCATCTGGATCCTGAATCACAAAAAATGCAGGTTACAGCTCAATTAACCTCCATCGTGCATGTATTTTAACTCAAATGTCTGAATAACCAACAAGTAAACTAGCACTAGCATCCAAGTCAGACAATTACTACAGTAGTCAAAAGCATGCTAATACCAGCCCAAGTCATTGTTTTTATTTCTACATCATGTTTGAAAATCTAGATCTATAAGTTGATTCCAAAGAGCAATCACAACTACCTGGGAAAAATTTGGCTCCCTCTAAATCTCCAATATTTTTTGAAGTTTCTAAAACTATGTTTCCTTCCACATTAAATTCCTTATGTAAATTATTTTGAAATTACAGCTAAGCATATGAAACTTATTTCAAATGTCTATGTAGAGCAAGTGATTGTGCCTATTAGCATTCAGAACACATTATAACGACGACATTCAGGGATATATGTAGACCCATCGGGAACGGATAATCATCCCGGTCCTGGTTGGGGTCGACTTGAGTCATTAGGAGGTCAAACCAAGGCAAGAATATACAGCAAACCCCACATTATATCTATAACATATTTTGCATAAGATACCCATGAGACTGTCGAGAACGTAAGAGCATGTCCATCAAATATAAAAAAGAAAGTCAGCCCTTCAGCCATTTAATTTTACGATAATGAAACAAGACATCTCACCTCTAAGCAATCAATAACAGCCAGTTGATGTTGTTCCGCTATTTCTGGGCTTATCTTTATCAGTCTACCAAGAGCATCAATACCAAGATATTTCAGATTGTGGCTGTCACTCTATCCATCGGATATACATCTAGTTAGTGTTATAATGTCAAATTAAAATATTATTTAATTTTAGAATATTAACCAATGTGCAAAATTCAGACCTTCAAAAATTTTGCAATGGCGTCAGCAGCAGCTTCTAGCAACTTCGGGTTAGGGTGTAAGGATGAAACACAGCAAACACACTCATAAAGAATGGCATTACCAATATTCGTTGTTGAGTCACATTTTCTCATAATGTCACCAACAATTGTGTACATTTGTTCACTGGCCTTTTTGTCCCCACTTCCTAGAAGGGCCAGAATTTTCAACAATTTGATCTGTCAAAAGGAGGGAACAATGTTTGTATTAGTGAGGCGGGAAAATGAAAGCATGAAATAAAGTAATTGAATATCGGTTATCCTCTTTGCAAAATCCAACAGCTCTTTAGCCATCCACAATTCTCTTCTATGCAGTTAAATAGCTTCTTCTCCCACAAGGCCACAATACATTTAAATTAGCTTTCCTTTACAAAAGAGTAATAATCCCACAATGCCATTTCAATTTCTTACCGGCCATTTTTAACAATCCTTGCCTATAGCATAAAAGATATTATAATATACAACAAGTACGTATAAGTAGCAACCTTCAGATAACTTATCATAATCAAGCTTTTAACATTGCATTTATCCTAAGCCATCTCCATCAATATTTTCATTTTAATTTTGCAGTAAAAATGAGAGAGCATTTTATATATCATATAGCTGAATGAATACAGGGGACGAGATTGAAAACAGCCTAACCTGAATGAAAGGAGCAGGCATTTGATGATAGTCATAACTCTTTGGTAGTCTCCGTTCAGCTACTTGTTTAAGAATGTTGACGAAACTAACAACCAAATCCTTATACTTGTCCGTATCAATTGCGATAAGATCAAAAAGAGGGCAAAGCGTTGCACCCATAACACCAGGATCATTGTCACAGAGCCTCTGGAACAAAACCCAAAACCTTTATTTTCTTACAACTTAAAAACAATTGAATACTAGCCATCAAATTTTCAGTCACCAATCAACATATTATATCTGAACTGCCATTTTACAATTGAAACGAGATAAAAAGAAGAGCATCATTTTGTTAGATGGTCATGTGTTATCTACCTTTACTGTTCAGTTAAAATAAAAAATAACAATAACCACAGAAATATACGAGACACTCAACGTTCCTATACCATCATGACCACATCTAAGCAATCCAAGCGAAGTTGCTTCACATCCAACTGTGAAAAAATTCAAGTTTCTAGCGTGCTAAATCATCACAATATTTCAGAATCCATATAAAAGTTATTCAACCCTCCCTGGGCATTTCTGATTTGCTTCTCCATTTCACACTTATATTTTTTACATGTAATGATGTGAAAAAACACTACAAATGAGCATTTAACCTTTACAACAGCTTATAATTGTTTTAATTTACGATTTATCTGCCTAAAGAAAACACAACTATACCACTCAAATTTTCCACCATTGATTTGCACACACATGCAGAAGCATGAATTTTCTACAGCTATTCAACCTAAGGTATAATACAAACATCCAACACACTACTCAAGTCCCCAGTTACATGCACCACAGCTGAGCATCCAAATGTTTCCAAATCACATTGCTAAGGCTACAGCCAAGAAGTACCATTAAATTCATCCAACCATTAAATTCATCCAAATGCAACGCACAATAAACAAAACTAACTAACATAAACTCTAAAGCTCCAATCAAACAAACACCACAAACTGAGAACGTGCACCTTGCGGAAATTGGAAATAAGATGAGAAACCGACCCAGGAGCCCTCTGAAAGAAACGGTGAAGTGCCATCACCGCTTTCTTCCTCACCGTCTCCTTCTGATGCCCCAACAGCTCCACAACCTGAGGCAGTACCGCCGGAATAGTCTCCTCGTTGATCAATCGGCACACCGCATTCAAGGCGGCACAAACAACCAGATAGTTGTCACTCTTCAAGTCCTTCTGTATCGTGTTCACGATCAAGATAATCAAATCGTGATCCTCGTTCAGGAACAAAGTCACAGCCAGGTACCCAGTCCTCTTCAGCAGGAGATTATCGTCGTGCGTCATCTTGACGGCATGGATGTACCCGAAAGAGGCATCGTGACCAAGCATCTCGACATAAAGTAGGCGGATTAAATACTCCTTCAGCTTGAATTTCGGGGTGTTGGGATCGGACAACCGGGATTTCAAGGTCTCGATTTCGCGCACCACAATGCGGTCCTCCTCGGCCTTGGATCGTGACTCGCCAATGGATTTAATGAGGTCGAGGAACTCTTTGGACTGCCCAAATCCGCCCTGGGAGCCCATGGCGAGCTCCCGGCCGATCGTCTTTAGCTGCTCCAGCTTTGAGGATGATCACACAATTTGAGGCGCCTCGGATCAATCTAGAGTGAAGTTGATGAAATCCGAGGAATTTGTGAATCGGTTTGGGTTTAGGGTTTGGAGAAATTTGGATATGGAATTGGGGAAGATCTGGAAAAAGAAATGAGATGAGAATAGAGATGTTCGTATCTCGTGTAGAATATACAGCGGTGTGTGAATGTATATTTGGGACTTGTAGAGGAGAAGACTGAGAAGACGAGACTTGAAAATGGAAGAGATTTTTTTCAGGAGAAATCCTATCCGGGTGTCTGAAAAATGGTTGTGTTTTACGGTTCTAATTAGTACAATACTGGTCTACTACACGAGTGGTTCATAAAATAATTCAATGTAGAAAACAAAATGAAACCAAAATTAAATTTTTATAATTTAGAAAATACAAAGTCTGATAACCAGCTGATTACAACCAGCTCCCTTTCAAGAACAACCTCGAAAGGAACCGAAAAAGGAGAAGATATAACATGAGTTATCCTAGAAAGACCACCTCGACTCAAAGAACCACAAACTAAAAACACAACAAAACAACACTAAAGGCTACAAACTACTAAACAAGAATGAACAAGAAGCAAACAAACACACTCAAAGCTAAAACATCTTCAGCTAACACACAAATAGCAAAATTAAACAGTCTCTTGAATTGAGTAATTTGGTCAAAGCTTTATATTCAAAATAAGCAATCACCTTCTCCCACCTTTGATCAACCCACTTACGCAGCCACTCTCGCAGCTCCAGAAGCTCCCTAAGCTCCTTCTCCGCTGACAAGCTCAGCCCTCCACTAGTGACAGTAGTCCATTTGGGGACCTGCACTTCATTAGCAAAAAGTTAATCCCCTCAGCCTCTCAACTTTTGAAATGGACACAGTAGCAGTGGCTGCATCAATCTATATCCCTACTCTCTGTTTCTTCTCAAGCTCCAACCCTTCATTAGCACTGCACAGCCCCTGAGCCTTTCTCTTCTCAATGCTGTTAACACACTAACACTTTGCTCTTGCCTTCTCAACCAACTGGATTTCTGAACATTTTTCTTCTCAAATATCCAGTCATTTATTGTTCTCCACATCCATCATAACAAGTATGTAGACAGGGAAATTGTATTCTTGTTATGATCACTGGCTTTCAGATGACAAAGGCCTTCCCACAAATACCTGAAGTCAACCTCCTCATTGTCCATTTTGTTCCAGTGTAGTTCAACTATCTTCCAAACTATTTTAGCCCTCTCACACTTAAACATCAAATGCTTTAGAGTTTCTGCCTTCTTACCACACCAACAACAATTTGCATCCTGCACCACTCCTTTCACCTGCAGCCTCACCTTTGTGCTAATCCAATTGTGTCAACACCTCCAGATAAAATAGTTTACGTTTTGTTTAATAGGTAAGCATGTGTAGTCTTCCACACTTTTTGCACTATCATTTCTCCCCTGCTTAACTCAATCCCTCCTGTCACAACTCTTTTATTTTGTTGGATGGTTGAGTATGCACCTTTGAAAGTGAACAAAGCTTTCTTATCAAGGTGCCAGTTCATTATAATATAATAATATTTGAAAAGAATTTCAAAAAAATTAAAATTAAATCGACACAATTGTAAATAATATTTATGTTAAATATATCATTTTATAATGTAAGTAAAATGACTACCAATTAAAATAGTTATTTCAGCATTTTAATTTATTTCAATACATGTATATATAATACTTGAAAAAATTAATTAATTTAACAGAGTGTGGAATTTTATAACATAATAATATTTAAAAAGAATTTCAAAAAATTTAAAATTAAATTAGTAGAGTTGTAAATGATATATGTGTTAGACATATATAATTTTATAAATGTAATTAAAATGCTTATCGATTTTAACAATTTGAAGGTAAAAAATGTGTGTCATTTAATTAGTTATTATTATTATTTTATTAGTTATTTATTATTTATTATATTTTTTTATGTTTTTTCAATAAGATCATAAATGCTTTTATAGAGGTTTTTTATTATATAAATATATATAACTTTTCAAATAGTCGCCCGTGTACTACACGGTGTGAAATATTTGATTAAAAATAATTATATTTAAAATAAGATTTGCAAAAGTTTAAAGAAAATAGAGAAAAAAAACTTTTTCTCATCCGAACTATAATAATTTTCACACTACCATATGTTTTTTTTTAAAAAAAAAAACACCACCTGAACTATACGAGTTTATCGCAGTCAATTGGACCAATTCTAATAAGCTCTGCGCGAAAACCCTACCCTCAAATCAGCTCTTCCTTCAATTCGCTCGCTTCGCCTCCCCTAACGACGGCAACGTCACAGCCAGGGGTCGTCCTTGACCACCTGGCCCTCTCCTGGTAAGCGCGGCTCCGTTTAAGCCTTGGATGCTCCGCGGTTGGGATCCGATCGATTGGCGGCAGAGGTGGCTTCGGTTGGCAGCGGCGACCTCCAGGTTCGGCGTCTTGCAGGTGGTTCGAGTCTCCATCTTAATTGCCGGTGGGAGCAGCTCTGTGGAGGTAAGTACGGTCAATTTCGCCTTTTCTACTGTCGATTGGGTTGTACTTCTCCGGCGGGCTTGCCTGCTCCGGTGGGGCTGGGCTTCTGGTCATCGGAGCTCTGCGGTTGAATGGAGCGGTGCACGTACTGAGGGGTGGGACGGGGCTCTATTTGTTGCGGCTTGGTTGTCGCGGTGGCTGAGGTTAAGGGTGCGATTTACCTTTGCGCAAGCCCGTCTGCCTAGTGGTGTTAGGCGGCGGGGGACCAGGTTCTTTCGAGCTCGTCGAGTTCGAGTGGGGCCGGTGTGCGGGTCGGCCGCGGCTCTTTCGGTTTCTTCTACTGTATAGGCAGTATACAGTTTCGGTAGCGGATTCTCGGGTTGGGATCTTTCTTGTGACGATCGTCCACTGTTGGTTGGGATTGTTTGTTCGCTGGGGGAGGGCTCTATTGGTTTTGTTTTCTTTAGGTTGTTATTCCTTTTTTTTTGTTTTTTTTTTGTGTTTGTTTTGTCTGTTTTTGTTTAGTGTTTGTGATTGTGTTTTAGGTTTGGGTTGTTGGCCTCTGTGCGCCCGGGTGTCAAATTTATTATCCTGTTGGGATCCGACACTCGAGTATTACTCTGTTGGGGTCTTTTCTAGTTGTGTTAGTTGTTTGAGTTGTTGTTTAGTTTAGTTGGGAGTTTTTATTCTAGCATTGCTAGTCAGGATTCTAGGCGGTCTTCTGACCTGTCCTCCCACTTTTCAGTCGTTGGCTGCTTGTATTCGCACATTTGTGCACTTTTGATTTAAAAATGGTTTTTGACTAAAAAAAGCTGATTTTTGAAGGTATTTCAGTAATTTCATATATATTTTCAAAAAAAAAAACATCTAACGTAGGTGGCAGCGGGCTCCTACAATGCCGACGATGTCATCGGCGACCATGTAGGTGGCTGCGGGCTATGTGAGGAAGTAGTGGAGCAGAAAGGAACATCATCAAGGGAGCTGGCGCTCGAGCGCTCTCCAGCAGCCTTGAGAAACTCGATGCTGAGGGCGACGAGGTCATGGCGCGGGACATGGGGGAAGAGAAAGGTCGCCGCCACCGCTACCTGGTTGCTGGAGGTGGTGGCCCTCGCCCCCATATGGGCCGAGCTAGTTTTGGGTCATTAACCCCATTTTCTGGGTCGCGACCCGATTCAAAAAGGCCGAGCCTTTTTTCTCATGGTCGGCGAAGAACTTCGACCTCGAGATCTGCATGCATCCTTGCAGAGGCAAGGTAGCGGGCCCATTGGCGAAAGGCGGCGTCGGGGGTCGGGCGATTTTCAAGCTAGGTGCGCCGTGGAGAGGTTGGAGAGGGGTCTGCTCGCGGGGCAACGGGAAGGAAGGTTCTTGGCGACGGAGCAATTTAGGGTGTCGATGCTGGTGGCGGCGGTCATGTGCCAATGCAGATCGAGTAGTCATGTCAGTCGCCATTGTCCCCCTCGTCGCCAGATACGGGTGGTCAAGTTCGTTTTTCTCATTGTCCATGTAAGAAAACAAAAGAGATAATATTTTCCATTTACGCTTTTTTATTTTTATATCTCTTTAAAAATATATGACATTTGACTTGGCATGTTGTCAAAAATTGAAATTCAATAATATTTTCATTCAATACGTATATGAAAAGCTACTCATTTTTTTTTTTTATATTTCGTCATCTCCGGGAGTCGACGCTCTGGTGGTGTAGCCGAGACATCTCCGACGACCATGAATAAGGTGAAGAGTCAGCTCTACACATCCTTCATATTTCTTTTTTTTTTTTAAAAAACCAACTTAATTATTTTTTTAAAATTTATGAAATAACTGAAATGCCCTAAATATCAGCTCTTTTTAGTCAAAATTACTTTTATATCCAGTTTATGAGACTATTTGATAAACTCAAATTGTTCATGATGATTTGTAAAAAAAAAATAAAATTATACAATTATGCCGGAAAATGATTATAGTTAGGTTGGGGAAAAAAAAAAATTTCCAAGGAAATATGACCTTGTGCACGGATCGCGCACTAGTTCCTTTACTACAGGTCGAACCCCAAACAGTTCATCACACACAGCGGAAACTCACGCTTGGCGCTCTCTCTCACACACAGGCGCACGCACATTTCTTCATTCCGTCTGCATTTTTCCATCGCGATTCATCTTCTTAAGCGGCGTCTGCGCATCTGCAAACGGAAACCTTCTACCATGGGCGACAGTACGACATCGCCTTCTTCATCGTCGACGGCGGATTCGTATCTCGGGAGCTTCATAAGCGTGACATCGAAGAGCGAGATTCGCTACGAGGGTTTTCTTTACCACCTCAATCTACAAGACTCCACTCTCGGCCTCAAAGACGGTGAATCACGGCGTTAATTTTAGATTTTTCTTGGTTTCGTGTTCGTTTTCTTTTTTTCATTTCTTTCTTTTTCTAGCTATGACATTTTTTGCATATTGTGTTTTCTGTACTCGTTTTTTGCATGCTTATGTTGTGCTTAAGCAACAATTTATGCGGATTGTTTCTGAGTTACGATTTCTTGGGTTCTTCTTTTCTCCTTTTGCATTTGTATGCGGACATTTTCTCCTCTTTCATGTATGGACCATTGCTACAGCGATCTTGTGGTTGTCATAACGGGAACTTTACCATTTCATGTTGTGTATTCGAATGATTCATTTTTCTATTGGGCGTGTGGACTGTTATGTATTAGTTGCTGGGGGACCGCACAAGTTCAAGAAATGTTCTCATTGACCTTAAAGTATTGTATCCATTAAGCGGTTCATTTCTTCATTTTATATATGCATCTCTCTTTCAGTTTGTCGCGTTTCATTGTGCTGTTTATTTTCTGTGCTGTTTATTTTCTATGAACTTCATTCTGGATGCGCGAGTAAATCTTTAGACTACAGTTTTAGGCTCCAGGGAGTGACAACTGCTATGGGAGGAGATTTTTGGATTGTACTGTTATGCCAGATGAATTGAACAACATAACTTTATCAGGATGTTTTGATTTATTATGTTGTGATTTGTAATTGACTTTTATAAGTGAAACTGTAAGTTTCTATTACCAACCTGTAATCCCATCTATGGTTTACGTTCTGTTACCACTTACCATATCTGCCTGTATATCATCTCAATTCTATTTCACTTGCAATCTCTCATAATTTTCTTGATTGGATTCCATCAAATTATCTCTTGCAGTGAAGTCATATGGAACAGAGGGGAGAAACAAAAATGGGCAACAAGTTGCTCCAAGCGACAAAGTTTACGAATATATTCTGTTTCGTGGAAGTGACATCAAAGTAAGTGTATTTGACCACGTGAATTGATTTTAAAAGCATTGTATTTTACTTACGTAATGTCTGCCATTTTCTTTTATTACTTATGAATACGCTTTTGTCTTGCTTATTCCTACATGCTTTAGTCTATATCTCAACATCCTGAGCCTGCATGGTAGCACCCACATTTACCCCGACCTTTTGTTCGGTGATGTTTTTCTTCCTACCCTATTCGTTTGACCTGAATGATGACCCAGTTTTTCTTCATTGATTTACCCTTTTCATTTATACCATTTGGGGCATTTGAATACTGTGGAAAAGTGCCTTTATCAGATATTTTTGTGTGTTTCCCAGTTTCGTAAAAGGGCCCCATAAAAAATAGAGGCCATTTTTCTCTTTATGCAAAAGACCTCACTCACAGCTTTGAAAGGTAAGAAGAAACTGGTAGAACATGACTCCAAAGTTATTCTAGCAGCCACGCCAAAAAACCTGAGGTGGCTCAATATCACCATCAATCCATATTTATGAAAACTTTTTTCTGCAATTTTTTTCAAGTTTCCATTTGCTTCAATCAATCTATCTATTGTATTTTAGTGTAAATGTGGGCACAGATTTGAATAGGGATACTGGAAAAAATGTTGAAAGGTGCCAAAAGATTAATTATACAACTGAAATGGAGTTTTACAAACTAGTTAAACCTAACATAGCCATGATGGAATCTGTTTGGGGATGGTGGTCCCGTGGCTCAACGAGAGAGGACAAGAGTTTAAAGTTCAGACCAGTAGAAAAGTCAGATTCTAAGTTCGCTCTATTTGTCAAAACTTGCAAATGAACAATAATTCTGACACGGGCTTAGGGTTATGGCTTTATCAATTTCATCTAACAGAACTATTTCTTTTCCCCATACTGTACAGCTTAAATACAACCTCCCCTACAAAATCGCATCATTTTTTCCTGAGTGATCCATTACTTGATTATAACTGCATTGCATTGAGCTACTTCCCCAGAGTTCTCCTTGACATTATTATTTATGTGGGTATTTGATCTCTCAAACATCACTATTCAGGCAGATGCAGTTAAATGGGTTTTCAGTGTGCTGAATATTTGGCATTTGCATTGAGCAGTCTAGTCTTTGCATCAGCAGTCCTCTGCTTGCTATTAGAAAGTTAGAAGTGAAAATTTGCAACTAGTGAACTAAAGAGTGAAAATGTTATCTGTTCTCTTGGTTATTTTAGTGCTACCTTACCTAATGATCTGGAGAATATATTTGGCTGCTAGTATTATTGCCCCACAGTCCACTTTTGTAAGTGTTCCGATGAGGTTTCATATTTATTTTTCACTATCAGCATATAGTCAAACTATTGTAGCAGTTGATATTTCTTGATGGGAATTTTCTCGTTGGAGCATTGTGTAATACCCCGTTTGAATTATAGAATTTTGAGGAATAATTAATATTATTACTATTATTTATATTCATGTGTTATTAATAATATTATTGGTTGGGATGTTATAAGTTATTAATTGTCAAATATGATTTATTTGTCAAATTGCTTGATTGTCTAAATATTGAATTAATTGCCTAATTGTCTAAATGTTAATAATTAATTAAAATGTGTATTTGTATTTTTACTATTATTATTATTATTTTCTTAAAATTTAAATTATGTATTATCAATACATATTATATATTTTGTTTGTTTATTTAATTGTGCGAATTTATTTATCGAGCCCGAGAAATCTGTATTACTTCTACGTAGTCGGGCCCGAGAGCCGTTTCGTTTCTTTGAACCGGAACCGCGAGCCCGACAATTCGACCCGTTTTTGCAAATAAATTTGGCCTAAATTGATTCAATTTTTCGGCCCACGATGTAACTCATTCTTGGCCCATTTGAGTTAATCTTGTTGCAACCCTAAGTCTTGTATCTATATCTCATCCCTATTCACCCGCAGCTTTCTTTTCTCTCGTCAAAGTACGCCCCTCAGCTCTCGTCTCGCTCTCACCCTAACCAGATCTCCATCCCTCTCTCTCGCTAATTAAATCCCGTCGCCATCATCTCATCTCCCTCTCGTTTTTCCAATCATCGTCGGCCCCTCGCGAAATCATCCTCGCTGCGATCGTTCGTGACCAGCAGGCCTCGTCCCGCTCGTGACACCCCATCGTTGAGCCTGCAAATTTCCGGCAAGCCCGTCCCCTCCGCGCGCAGGCTCCTCCTCCGGCGATCCGCGTGCCTGCATCTCCGACGACCTTCTCTGCGCAACGCTCGTCGTGTACCAGCATGCCATCTCCGACAACGCCGCCCTCGACCACCGCGAGCCGCTGACGCTCCGCCTAGACGCTGCCCCTCCGTGAGTAGACCCGCGGACCCTGACGAACCGCTGCCCTAGCCATCGCAGCGTCTTTTTCCGGTGGCCCCGTCCGTCGCTGCTCCTTCTCGAGTCGCTTCTCCGCCGCTGCTCCTCCGTGCACGTTCCACCGGCGAGCCCAAGCGAAAGCGGTCGAGCCGTTGACCCCGCAAGAAGGCCACACGCAAATCGAGCCCGTCAACCCTCGTCCGTTCCGTTTTTCGAGCGTAGACCGAGAACGGTACCGAGGTTCATCTCTCTCGTTAATTTCATGTTTTGGATGATGTGTTGAACGTGTGCTACGATTATGTACTTGAGCCTATACATTCTATGTGTTCTATGAATATATATAAATGCCTATGACGTTTTTATGTGTTCATGAGATTATATATATTCATGTGTGTAGACGAACTCTTCGATTTTGAGAAAACGAACGAGACCTCGTCATTCGTGTTTAGGACTGTGGCAAATGGAACCTTGTCGAGTCCGTGGCCTCATGGCGAAGGCCTCGGACGAATTCGGTGTGTTTCGAGTCTTATTTGGATTTTTGAAACCATAGTTGCTGCTGAATCGAATTTAAATCATGATAAATCGCATGCTGCTCCGAATGCTTTGAAATTTTATATGTGATGTCATGTGGTGATTATACATGTCGTGTAAAAATTTCATGATTTTAGGAGGTCTGTAGCTATTTTTAATAATTATTTGGAAATCTGAGCTGAATCTTGTAAAATGCATGTTAAATTCGGTTTTGCCTCAAAAATTATGAAATTTGAATATGATGTCTTCCTGTGTGTTTTCTAGGTTGTGTAAAAGTCTTGGAATTTTTGAGCTTCGTTTGCTATATTTAAAAAATCATTTGTGGTATTCTGCAGATTCATAATTTAATTTTATTAAATTGCATTTTTGCTGGAAAATTCTGAAACTTTACTGAGAGGCTTATTTTATGTACTTATGCATGCTGTTAAAATATGAAAAATTTTGGAGTTCATTTTAGTTCGATTTTGCTTTAAATTCGATAAACTGCTGAAACTCGTTTGAATTTTTAAAAATAGAAGCAGTTGATGTTAAGGGCTGGGATTTTTATATGTTGTTTATATCATGCAGTAGTGTACTGTGTAAAATTATCAAGTCCTGAATCATTCATTAAGTTTGAGTATAAATTCATGGCTCGGTTTTGCTGATATCTTGTGTGAATTTTATAAAATAGTGTACTTTGGATTTTAAGCTGAAAATTTGTGTATTTGCTTAACTCTGGGAGGTAAAATTTTGGTTAAAATTTCAGGGTCAGATTCATATGGTAACCTGGTCAACTCATTTTTGTGATTTAAACTGGTATATTCGTATATATGGTTTTTAGATTGGAAACTGTAAACCGACTCGTCATTTATTTCATTAAGTGTTTGACTTGGTCAATGATTATGTTTGGATTATGTGAACTCCCATGTGTAATTGGTTGAGTCTAGATGTCAAGTCTAAGTGTTCCAACGTCCACAGGACTTCACGAACAACTTAGTTGAATCAAGTTCGACTAAGTATGATTGTGATTTCTCGTTTAAGTCTGAATAGGTGTTGATTATAGCATCTGGACTTAATGTAGGTATTTGACGAGCCGAGCTCGCAGCCTAATCGTGCTTTCGTGGTTATCTCCTATTTGCGACCAGGTGGGTTTTATTTTAAAAGTTGTCTATGCCATAAATTATTTACATTTGTTGCTTGGTGTGATTAATGCATGCGTATGAACCATGTAACCCTCGTTG